ACTCATTTAAAAATGGATTTAGTTCATGTTGGCAGCAATGAATGCCACTAATTAAAATAATACACCGCCTCTTTACAAAGTCTTTAGGGCCCTTCCCTTTCTGCACACTTTATTATGTCGTAAATTAAATTGTAAATGAATAAAATCTGCATTTTTTTCCTATCAATCAACATTAAATAAGCCATAATGATAAACTAAATCATTTTTTGCACAATTGTTAATCATGAAAAACTGAAATCTCTCATTAACAGAAGTATTCAGACCCTTTGTTGGGTTGCATTTGAGCTCTAGTGCGTTCTTCTCAGCAGTTCTTCAGATGCTTCTACAACTGGACTGATAGAGTCCTCCCCGTGTCTAACTTGATTCACTGGACGTATTTAGGAAAGACGCACATCTGTCTGGATAAGGTGTCCCAGTGGATGGTGCATGTCAGGGTGAAAATCAGCCAAGAGGTCAAGAAAATTGCTCATCGACAAACTGCACGGCAGGATTGTGTCGATTCACAGATCCGGGGAAGGATGCAGCACTTAAAGCGCCTCACATTTTCAAACGGAAGAAGTCTGGGACCACCAGCAGTCTTCCTGATGAGATCTGGCTGCCCAGTCAAACTGAATGGCCTTGGACAGACTGGTTACCAAAAAAAAACAATAAAAAGAAAGGTGCAGGATTATTCCCAAGACTCCTCAGGCTGTTACTGCTGCCAAAACTGCTTTAACCACGTACTCAGGGAAGGGTTTTAAAACTTGTAAATGGGGTGTTTTTTTTTTAGAAATGTACAAAACACTTAAAATAAAATACAAATTCCTCGTTATTGTTTATTTCTGTATGTGGACAGATAAGAAAAAAAATACTTTTTCAAGTTTAAGAAATGTGAAAAGGATCTGAAAACTTTTTGAATGCAACTTCAGAAAAAAAAAACTAACTAACTACCACTAAATGAACTTCATTTACACATTTCACAACCAGCAAAATGTGATCGTGTTGAAAGATATTTGAACATCGAATTAAAGCCGTTGTGTTCCCTCCTAATTATCTATGCACCTCTGTGAACTGTACATGAAAACAACAGCTTGTGTTATATTTGACTTGATTTTAAACAGCTTTTCTGTTCATTAACTGTGGATATTAATACTCTAATATTCTATTTAATGTACTGTTTATCAGGGCTGCTATATTTTTTTTATATATATATCTGAAAATTGTAAGACAGAGACGTTTTATGTTTGAGGTAGTTTGGAAAAAGTCACATCATAACAGTTTCACAGCTTTTCCTTCAGTGACATGTTTGTCTTTTCACTTATCTTTTCTCTGAATTGCATTTGATGTCACATATCTTGCACACGATTCTTTAAATAACTAGATTGAAGAATCAGTAAAGCTGCAACAGACGGAAATATCTACCTTCCTTCTGCTGTTCAAGTCAGATGGTCAGGCTAAAAGTCAAGCTCTCTTTCCTGAGTGAATGTCATCAGTGTAACCGGTGTCACGGGCGAGATTTTCAAACAGAAGATAAAATCAGATCAGATAAGCCATTAATAAAGCCTGAAACAAAGCCATCCGCATGTGCATTAGTCTAGCTGTCCTCTCAGACTACTTCATTTGCAAAATGCCGAAAGAGTCGTACGAAATTTTGTATAGTTTTGTGGAAATAAAATCTCATTTATTCTCACAGCAACAGCTCATTGTGTTGTCTTCAGATGATCAGAGGCCGTGTTGAGCGATGAACCGCTGATGGCAGACAGATGTGACGGTTGATGACTGTGGTTCTGCTGACTGCAGCAAATTAGCTCCCAGTTTTTAACGGCGCGCGCACAAACGCCGCTTTCCTGATGCCTGCGTTGTTCGTTTGGGGGATATTTTTAAGCAGACAACAAAAGAACAACCAATTATCACAGTTCTATTTGGAGTGTTTTTGTTTCTTTTGGGGTTTTTTTCCTGCCAGATCTGTGGCCAATTAACTGATGTATTACTGGTTGGCGCCACCCTGCAGACAAAAAAAAAAAAGCTGATGCAAAAGAATGGAGTGACAGAAATTGAAACAGTAAAAATAAGGGAGGAGGAGTGCAGACGGGTTAGAGAGGACTGAGGATGGAGTGGCTGTCAGTTTCCAGCAGTGGGACCAGTGTGGGACAGGTGGAACAATACACTGAACAAAGGAGTAACACAAATTAACTGCTTACTAATACAGTATAATGTGCCTCCCTAACAATAAACATCCATCCATTATCTATACATCGCTTAATCCTCACGAGGGTCGCGGGGGGGGGAGTCTATCCCAGCCGACGTAGGGCGAAGGCAGGGGACACCCTGGACAGGTCACCAGTCTATCACAGGGCCACACTTAGAGACAGACAACTAAGCACACTCACATTCACACCTACGGACAATTTAGAATCACCAATTAACCTCAACATGTTTTTGGACCTTGTGGGAGGAAGCCGGAGAACCCGGAGAGAACCCACGCTGCACGGGGAGAACATGCAAACTCCACACAGAAAGATCCCGGGCGTCCTCACCAGGACACGAACCGGCAACCTTCTTGCTGCAAGGCAACGACGCTAACCACCGACTCACCTTGCTGCCTAATGTGTACCTTAAATTCTCACATTGTAACACTGACATGATTCTTATAACACACTACATTTTCACTTCTACAAACTAATTTCAATCTGTACAATTAAAGAGTCATACTCCCACTCTGCTACACTTGATTGCTTCCCATTTGCTGGTTTTAATCTGCTGCCTAACTCTTATTCTCGTTGTGAGGTGTTTAGGGAACATCTGTAAATTGTCGCGTCTATCGATCAGCAGAGTTCAGTTTAACCTGTGTTCCAGTTCATAGGAGTATAATAAGGCAATCTCAGGGAAAAGACTGGTGAAATATTTTAGATGGTCTGCACTTATATTGCACTTTTATCCAAAGCGCATTACAATATGTTTCTCATTCACCCATTCACACACACATTCACACACCAACGGTAACAGAGCTGCCATGCAAGGTGCTGTCTGCCATTTGGATCAACTTTGGGTTCAGTGTCTTGCCCAAGGACACTTCGACTGTGGAGGGGCGGGGGATCAAACTGCCAACCTTGCAATTAGAGGACAACCTGCTCTACCACCTGAGCCACAGCCGCCAGATTAAAATATTAAAACTAGATTTAAAACACTTTGCAAATGTGAAGTCACTGTTAACCTAATTTAAAGCAGTTACACAAAAGGTCCTTAAGGACAAAAATGTCCCCATGGACACATGAGGGTTAATCACATAAACTAGGGTATGCAAAGACAAGGATTCACCAGCATGCAAGGTTGATTAATACCATGCTGTTTCGAAACTGAGAAAGTTGTGCACCCCTGTAAGAGTCAGTCTGCAGCACTGACTGATGATAACAGAGAAAAAAGCTCCAAATCCTTTGATTTGTTATGACCGAAAAAGACAACATTCTGTATTTTTTTGCTTTAGAAATGACTTCATAGTGATGACAGTGTTGATCGACTAATTGTTTCTGTACGAGAGGAAGGCAGATGCCAACAACTTTCCATGACAAGGAAAAACAGTAAACATGGTCTTAACTGTCACACAACAGCAATGAAGACATTTGACATCTTGTGCAGTAAAAATGCATCGGGAGACAACAGTGATCAGAGCCACACAATTAACATGACGCAAAAGAGATGCTGCACCTGGCAAGGGTTCATTCACGTTACAGGATACTTTAATCAGAACTAGATGTGTGTCCTTGTCAGCTCACTGTGTGTTGATGTTGAAGCCAAACACACTCACACACACACAGATATATCCACGGGTTGTTAACTACATTAAGTCGAAACATCTTGTTTTTGAATGGCGCTTATTGTTTAAGTCTTATTTTGCTCCGGGGTGGTTCAGTCCACATGACCGGACAGGCTGATGCATCTCCTCTCACATAGTTTGACCTTTGTCTGCCTGAGAGAGGGAAGGTGCTGAATGCATTCAAGTTTAGACCTGTTTTGTTTTTGTTTTTTAAACAGAATCTAAGGCAGGAGCTTAACATTGCAGAACCAATTTCAATCATCCTGCTGCTTTGATCCCAAAAATAAAAAGTCCATAAAAATGACTTTGGGTGACATAACGTGGACTGGAATCTGCACTCCAAGAAACTCTGCCTTTTATGGACAGCGCACAAAGAGGACAGAGCTCATTCTGTAGTTTGGCTAAAAAAATAAAAAATAAAATAAAAACTACACTGAGCATTTGTATTAAAGCCAATAAGTCTAAATTATGTTGCTAATTTTTGCTTCTTCTTCCTTTTCTTTTCTTTTTCTTCGCAAAAAAAACCGCCTTCAAGTACATCTGTTTTTATCAAAGCCGGGTCGCTTCAGTACGTGCTCGAATTCAAGACACCAAAACACGTTTGAAATATTTGAAAATTTCACACCGCCTAGCTTACAGTAAAATAAAAACATACCGCTGCTCATTTCTTGAACAAATAGCGCCTTCTGACTATTTCGGCTTAAAAATGACAACTCGGTAAGGCAACTTTAACAATGCTTTCACCTCATTTCCCCCCCCTCCTTCATATTTGAGGAGGGGACAGTTAAAGAGAGAGCCGGTGATAAAAGCAGAGATGACTACAGTGTAATTCGGCGGGGATGTGTTGGTGTTTTTGGGTGCAGCGCATTGAAGGATGATGAATAAAACCGACCTATTCAGGAGAGGTCTCCCAGGTCATGCTGTGCGTTTTGCCTGTTAAGCGTCGCGATGTTAAATTGGCACATTTTTAAATGACATCTGGCGCACGCGACAAAACCCTCTTCTTCACTTAACAGCTAATTACTCCCGAAAAGTTTGACTTGCGTCGCACTACAACGTTTCTCGCTTCCACTGAGCCCAAGTCTCTCTGAGTGACACACTTTAAAGCCTCCGTACGTGTTTATTTAATGAGCTTTTAATGCTTCTACACGCAACTGGTAGAGCTGCAAGAACTTTTCCAGCACGTCCGCTCTTTCTTTTTCTTTACCTTGTTCTCCAGTGTCTCCGCGGGCTCTTTCCAGTGTGCCGTTCAGCAGCAGAAAAGAAAGAAAAACGAGTAAACGTCCACATTTTGCCGGTGAGATTTGGGCATTTTTCTGCCTGTGTTTACTGTACATCCCTGTGACCCTCGGTACCGCCGGCCGTCCTCCCTGTCCTCGCCGTTATTCAACTGTGCCTCCCTTTCTGACTCCTCCGAGCGTCAAACGCGACGCAGCGAAAGACACGACTTCCTGTCCGCACCATCAAAATAAAAGTAGGTCTGAAAGTATCGAAACAAACCACGAGGAAATACAGAAAGCCTTCTTCTCAATAATTAGAATCATCTTTTTAACCCTAGTCAGGACTTTTGGAGTCTTTTGGACCATTTGGTTTAGGTGACAGGTATTGTTTTTTTTATTTTTGAAGTTGTTTTTGTTTTTTTTGTTTTTTTAATAAAAAAGAGGGACATTTTTCGTGCATTTGGAACCAAAAATGCGTCACCTTAGCAGAAAATGTATTTAACATAGTATAAAAGTCTATAATGAATACCAACAAATAGTTTGCACATGTTCTTTCTTGGGGTCCAATGGACCCTGAAAGACCTTATGGCCACATGAAAGTCCTGAATAGGGTTAAATATGCTGAAGTAAATTTATAATGTAGCATGTAATATTATATTCATATATTTATATCCATCATTGTTGTAGGATCCAATACACAGCATCTGTACAACAAAATAGAAGTCAAGAAACAAGCAATGATCAATATTGCAAATGATAATGGGCAGATCAAGAGTGGGGTCATGGAACAGAAATCACAAGAATTAATGAGGTTCTTCTCCACTTCTTTTAAAGACCTCAGTGAAGTTGGCAGACATTACGGGGGACAGGCTCATGACACATCCATCCTGAGCTTCCCAGAGATGTTCAATAGGTGACATGTTTGAAGAGTCTGCAGTCCGTGGTATGACTGGAACATTTTCAGCTGCCTTAGAAGGGTAGATTATATTCTGGGGACATGAAGATGCGCATTGTCTCAACATATATATTCACAACATTTGTCATCTCAAGGCAAGAGTAGAATGAGGATCTTAGAAAATTGCAAAGTGAAACCCAATAATTTCAAATATTCAGTTAGTGCAGCTTTGAACAAGCACTTGGCAACAGTGGGAGGAGAGAAAAAAAACCTCACCTTTACCAGATGTAAACCTCTGGCAGACCCAGGCTCAGGGAGGGCAGCCATCTGCCTCGACCAGTTTGGGTGAGTGTAATGAGGATATGGATAGCAGGTAGAAAACAGACAATCAATGCTCAAGACAACAATGAACACCTGGGAGCTTGGTGTTGCCAGTAACTGCGGCTCATAAACATGTCGTGCTGCTGCCAAAAGTAGAGAGAGGGCAAAAAAAACAAAACAAGTTTTAAGCTTAATCTTAAGTAGAGAAGGTTTCCCAGCTGGTGGTGGTTAATGATGATGGGTCACTGTCCATACGATGTTGGCACCCACACGGTGTACGATGCCAAACGTAACGCCTGCAGTCTGTACAGCTGAAAAGGACCATTCTCCATCTTGCTAGTAATCAGAGGCCTCTAGAGTCAATTACAACACTGTTCTGCCATTAGATCAAGGCCTTGGTGTGGACAATGAGATTGCAAACCAGAATCCCTCAGGCGCTATCTCCCAGTTTAAGCATGTATTTTCTGGTTGTGCACACCAACAACTTCATCAGCGGTCCCTGCAGCCGATCAAAAACAATTTCTCAGATGGACGAGCTGGGTGTGATGATCTTGAGCTCAGTGGTGACATGTTCTCTGTGGTAGATTGTCTCTCATACCATGTGGTCTGAAACTGTTTTTTATTTTTTATTTTTTTGTCATCTAGGGCATTGGGTCATTTGAGTAAAACTGCAATAAAACTAAATTACTGAGCTAATCAAATCCCCCAGAAGCAGCTCTGCAACTGGAAATGCACAGTATTGGTACTGCAGTTCTTCTTGCCACACTTCTACTCTCACATGTTTACAGCTAAAAACATGGTTCTGATTTTAACAGATGACAGTTTTCAATATAAATAATGAATCAAGAATTTATAGAAACATGACAACATCATGTATGTACTGTCAGATCAAATCTGGAATTATTCTGTAATTATTCTTAAATTACAGGAAAATGGTTAAAGATTTTTCTTTTTATGTTCAGACACGACAGATTGGAAACACAAGCAGGATCATGCTTGTTTCATTCAGGCATGAAGTCAAAAGTCGACGAGAAAGAATGAATGTTAAACTGAAAGTCAGCAGTTGAACATGTTCTGTGTTCCTTCATTCCTCTCACTGTTTATTCTTGTAACCTCACTACAAAGCTACACAGAGCAAACACCTGTTTCCTGGCCTATTTATCAGAAAGCTAATCAGCCTGATAACTTGCAGCTGCCAGGCCTGCGGCCAAAAGCTGCTGTCTGCCACAGCTGCAGGTCCTCAGCCAAAAAAAAATAAAAACACTGGCACACTTAAAAACCACCAACTGTAGGTATAAAAGGGGCTAGCATTTTACCCAGCTATTTTTGAATTTAATATATAACCAATCCACCACTGCACAGAAACAGTAGGGCACCTCTTTTTTTTCTCTCTTAAAAATAAATAAATAAATAATCTAACTAAATTATTTTGAAATAGGAATCAATCGTCATCCGGTTGCACTGTGATTGTGTCTAACTTGACGCCATCAGGCTCTCTACAAAACAAGGCATGGATTTGATTTCTTTTCAATTGCTTCGAAATTCTGAGGATTCAAAACAGTTGCCACAAATATGAGCAAATCTCAATGAATGGTTAACATTAGAAAGTGTGAAAAAAAAATCAAATATGTTGAAAATATTTGATGTACAATTTAGCGCACGAGTCACTAGTTGTTTTTTTTATATGTAGTTCAAATTTAATTTTAAGGACATTTTTTAAGAGTGTTATTGCTCAAAATGTCTGGTTAAATCAAGCAAATTCATTCACAGTTATTAGCATAGCTTAGCATACAAAAGGAGGTTTCTCTGGGTTTAATGTAAACTGTACATTTACAATCATCAGTATTAATTTCAGTCAGCACAACACATCTGGCAGAGCATAGAAAAACCTTATTCCCACTCCCAAAAGGTCTTAATCGTATACTCCAGTAATAATGTAAAAGTTGCTGGGGATCTTAAAAGTTTAAGGACAACTTATTTTGGAAATTCATTTACTTCTTGGATATCTGTGCATACAGTGACCAACACAAGTGAGCACATCTTTATGCAACTTAAATGTCAAAAGATTCAAAATGAAATCACCTGTCTATAACTGCATTATTTCTAAGTTGAACTGTAGGGTATTTGGTCTTATGAACAATCAAAAATAAATACTTTAGGAAGACTATATTCAAAATACGGACCCAAAAAAGAAACACAATTCAACAAAAGTGAATACACCCATGATCACTTACATACAAGTTAGAAAACCTGTGATCACTTAAACAAAATTGAGTACAGCTGTAATTCCCGATCAGTCTAACACTAAGATCTAGACATGTTGGTAAAATGACAGCTTTAGATATGTGGGCTAGGTCTGTCTGTGTGTCTGCATCATGGCTCCACGTGGAAAAGAATTTTGAGAGAACCTGAAAAAGCTGATTGTGAAAATTTACAAAGATGAAGCAGGATACAGGAAGACTGGAGACCAACAGTGGCAGCAGAAATCAGGAGGCACAGAACAAGCCATAGTACCACTCATCAGAACCTCCGTCTTTTAAAATAATGTCACAAACATCAAAGGGACAGTCTTTAGACTTGACACAGGGATTATAAATGTAAATTTGTTTCTGAGACAGCTCAGATAGTGCATAACTCAGTCTCCAAAAAAGCAAGCTTTGGCACAAAACTGCAATATGGAACTAAAGAACATGACAAAATCCATCCATTATCTATACACCGCTTAATCCTCACTAGGGTCGCTGGAGCCTATCCCAGCTGACTTAGGGCGAAGGCAGGGGACACCCTGGACGGGTCACCAGTCTATCACAGGGCTACACTTAGAGACAGACAACAAGCACACTCACATTAACACCTACGGACAATTTAGAATCACCAATTAACCTCCACATGTTTTTGGACTGTGTGGGAGGAAGCTGGAGAACCCGGAGAGAACCCATGCTGCACGGGGAGAACATGCAAACTCCACACAGAAAGATTCCGGTGCCCCCACCGGGATGCGAACCGGCAACCTTCTTGCTGCAAGGCAACAGTGCTACCAACTGCGCCACCCTGCAGCCTGATGAATTTTAGGAGACCGTTCTTTGGTCAGATGAGACCAACATAAATGTATTCAGCTCAGATGGGGTCCAGCATGTTTGGCAAAAACCTGGCCAGGACAGTGAATCCATTGTTCCTACAGTGAAGCACCGAGGTGGGAGTGTGATCATATGGGACTAGATGAGTGCAAAAGGTCTTTTTAGATGGCATCATGCCAGCAAATATATCAAAACACTGGCTCAAAAGATGATCACTAGTCTTCATAAGTTTGGCAGAAGGGGAATATTCCAGCATGATAACAATCCAAAGCACAGTGCCAAATTTGCACAAGAGGAACAAAGTAATAACTTAAATCCAGCAGAACACCTTTGGGGAATTTTAAAAAGAAAAAAAAACTAGATCTTCAGCCAGACATTGGGAATCTGTGTTGAACAGCTAACCTGCTGAGTGCATAGAAGGACATAGAACATAATTTACCTCCACATCCTGTGTTAACAAAGTTACGGCTGCTGTGCCACGTGCGTAAATGTGCACATCGCTCTCACTTTCCAGACACACTTATCACCTCCGATGCTGTGTGACGCTGAAGACATTTATTGAAGTCCAAGAAAAGAATCTGAGCCACAGCCAGCTGTGGGCAGCAAACGGACATCAGTAAGTGCTTCTGTTTCTGCTAAAGTTGCATTCAGTGAAACTAGAAAAACATCACCGGAAGAGTCAAATATTAATCTGACACATTTCAGATCCGCTTGGAGCCACAGAGCTGTACTTTGACAGACATGTCAATATGTTGTGTAATAGATCCTGTGGGCGGTGTAGCGCTACCTGGACACAAGCTGGGACTTGATCTCCTCGGCTGGGTCACCTGGGTGATGGTGTGTGATGATGAAAAACCCTAGAGCATAAACATACATTCTTTGGTGA